ATCGGTTTTGCTTATCAGTTCGCAAAAAGACCATCATCATGTGACCCTGGGACACCCGCTGCAACCGTCATAAGTACAAGTCAGTTGCCGAGTTTTGATCACATGACCATGGGGGAATGCTGCAACGGTCGTAAGTGTGAAAACCGGTCATAAGTCACTTTTTTTCAGTGCTGTAGTAACTTTGAATGGTCACTAAATGAACTGTTGTAAGTCAAGGACTATGTATAGGTTTCCCAAATCTTTTAGCCTTTGACACCAGACAGTAACAAATTCATTTCTTTAAAAGCCATGAATACGGGTATTGCAAAAAAATAAAAATAAAAATGACTTGACATCCACTAAGGGCATTTTAAATGATGTTATTTTAAATCGTTGAGTGATACCAATGGTTCGATTTTGGCATTTAATCACTGACAAACTGCTTTAGATATATTTTGCATTGAAAAGAGTATACTTTTAATTATATTACTTGTATCACAAACTGAGAGCCAGGTGGGTGTAGCGGTTAAGGCATCAGGCTTGAAACCAGAAGACGATGAGTTTTAGTCACGTTTTAGGCCCAAAACCAGGGGCCTGCAACTTTAAATACTCAAAGAGCCATTTGGACCCGTTTCCCACAGAAAAGAAAACACCGGGAGCCACAAAACCTGGGTGGGCGTGGCCAACCCGATGTCACTCACTTCTACTAGTCACATGACTCCCCCTAGCCACGCCTACCCAGCCGGTCATTAGGGCAGAGAACCAGTTGTTAAAAAAGACCGGGAACCACAAAATCCTTTTGATATCTCTCTCTCTCCCCTCCCTCCCCCCTCCCTCTTCCCTCTCTCCCCCCCTCCCCTCTCTCCCTCCCTCCCCTCTCTCTGTATCTCTCTGTCTCTGCCCTGGCCGCTTCTCCATCCCCCGCCGTCGTCCGTACCTTCTCAGGCCAGGCAAGGAGGGCGAGGGGCGGGGCCAGCCAGTGGTGGGATCACCTGACATGGAGCCACAGCAGAGGGCCCAAAGAGCCACATGCGGCTCCGGAGCTGCAGGTTGCTGACCCCGGTCCAAAACCAATTGGTGACCTTGAGCCAGTCACTTTCTCTCAGCCCTAGGAAGAAGGCAATGGTAAACTACAAGTAGTTCTCGACATACAACAGTTAATTTAGTGACCATTCAAAGTTACAACGGCACTGAAAAAAAGGGACTTATGACCATTTTTCAGAGTTATGACCTTTGCAGCATCCCCATGGTCACGTGATCAAAATTCAGACGTTTGACAACTGACTCACCTTTATGACGGTTGCAGTGTCCCAGGGTCACGTGATCCCCTTTTGAGATCTTGTGGATAAGGAAAATCAATGGGGACGACGGATTCACTTAACAACCATGTTATCAACGTTACATCTGCTCCCTTTAACAACTGCGCCCAGAAATGTTGTAACATGGGGCCAAACTCAGTGGTGGAATTCAAATTTTTTTACTAACGGTTTGGTGGGTGTGGCTTGGTGGGCGTGGTGTGGCTTGGTGTGCGTGGCAGGGGAAGAATACTGCACAAACTCCATTCCCTCCCCACTCCAGGGGAAGGATACTGCGAAATCCCCATTCCCTCCCCACTCTTGGGAGAAGAATACTGCACAATCTCCATTCCCATCCCACTCCAGGGGAAGGATACTGCAAAATCCCCATTCCCTACCCACTCCTGGGGTAAGGATACTGCAAAATCCCCATTCCCTCCCCACTCCAGGGGAAGGATACTGCAAAATCCCCATTCCCTTTCCACTCTTGGGAGAAGGATACTACACAATCTCCATTCCCTCCCTACTCCTGGGGGAAGGATACTGCAAAATCCCCATTCCCTCCCCACTCCTTGGAAGGATACTGCAAAATCCCCATTCCCTCCCCACTCTTGGGAGAAAGATACTGCACAATCTCCATTCCCATCCCACTCCAGGGGAACAACACTGCAAAATCCCCATTCGCTCCCGACTCCTGGGGGAAGGATACTGCAAAATCCCCATTCCCTCCCCACTCTTGGGAGAAGGATACTGCGAAATCCCCATTCCCTTCCCACTCTTGGGAGGATACTGCAAAATCTCCATTCCCTCCCCACTCAAGGGGAAGGATACTGCAAAATCCCCATTCCCTCCCCACTCCTGCGGGAAGGATATTGTAAAGTCTCCATTCCCACCTCCTCTGGGGCCAGCCAGAGGTGGTATTTGCCAGTTCTCCAAACTACTCAAAATTTCTGCTACCAGAACCTGCTAAATTTCACCCCCTGGCCGAACTCACTTAACAAATGTCTCACTTAACAACAGAAATTTTAGTCTCCACGGTGGTCGTATGTTAAGGCTTGCCTGTCCTTCTGAAAAAGGCTTGCCAAGCAAGCCTCAAGGATTTATACAAAGGGCAGTCTCTGAGAATCAGATGGGATTGAACAGAAGGGGGAAAAATGCATCGAACTAACTCACTGAAGTGAGTAATTGCTCACGTAAGCTCTTACAGATCACGGGCATTATTCCAATTTCTGTCTCTGTCCTAGAAATTATGTTGGAACACCAGCAGGCCAGAAACAGTAAACCTTGAATGTCTATGGAGATTCTCCGTCATCCAGGTCATGGTTATCTCAAAGGTGCTTTTTCAAGAGGCAACTGGACTTTCTGGTTTTTCTTTGAAGACATTTCACTTCTCATCCAAGAAGCTTCTTTGGCTCTGGATGAGAAGCTTCTTGGATGAGAAGCGAAACGCCTTCAAAGAAAAAACAAGAAAGTCCAGTTGTCTCTTGAAAAAAAGGACCCTTGGGACTGAACCTGAATCCCGAAGAGGAACACTATGGGTGAACGTGATGTGGTCATCATCAGGCCAGCCATGGGACAGAATACAACCAAAGTGCAAATTGTGCTCAACTTACAACCATTCGCTTAGTGTGCTCATAGTTACAACGGGACTGAGAAAAGTTACTTACAATCCCTCCTCGCACTAACAACCATCATGTGATCAAAATTTAACAAACTGGCATGTGTTTAGACATATTAGAATAACAGAGTTGGAAGGGACCTTGGAGGACTTCTAGTCCAACCCCCTGCTTAGGCAGGAAACCTATAGCATTTCAGACAAACAGAGCCTTGGTAGTACAGTGGTCTAAAGCACCCTGTTATTAAGACCAGCTGCCTGCAATTACTGCAGGTTTGAATCTCGCCAGGCTCAAGGTTGACTCAGCCTTCCATCCTTTCTAAGGTAGGTAAATTGAGGACCCAGTTTGTGGGGGCAATAAGCTGACTTTGTATAAATATACAAAAGGATGAAGGCTATTGCTTAGTGCATTGTAAGCCACCCTGAGTCTCCAGAGAAGGGCAGCATATAAATCAAATTTTTAAAAAAATGGTTATCCAATCTCTTCTTAAAAATGTCCAATGTTGGAGTATTCACAACAATATTTCTGGAGGCAAATTGTTCCACTGATTAATTGTTCTCACTGTCAGGAAATTTCTCCTTAGTTCTAGGTTGCTTCTCTCCTTGATGAGTTTCCACCCATTGCTTCTTGTCCTGCCTTCAGGTGCTTTGGAGAATAGCTTGACTCCCTCTTCTTTGTGGCAGCCCCTGAGATATCGAAAGACTGCTATCATGTCTCCCCTGGTCCTTCTTTTCATCAAACTAGACATACCCAGTTCCTGCAACTGTACTTTGTATGTTTTAGCCTCCAGTCTCCTAATCATCTTTGTGGCTCTTCTCTGCACTCTTTCTAGAATCTCAACATCTTTTTTACATCGTGGCGACCAAAACTGGAAGCAGGATTCCAAGTGTGGCCTTACAATTTACAACGGCTGCAACATCCTGGGGTCATATGATTGCCACTTGTGACACACACACACCCGTGTTGACTTGCATCCAGGCAAGTCAAAGGGGGATTCGCTTACCAACCAAATGATCATGTTGTAGCAGCTGCAGCGATTCGCTTAACAATTGTGGCAAAAAAGGTGGTAAAATGGGGCGCGAGTCACTTAACTAGCCCTGGTGGTGCAGTGGTTAGAATGCAGTATTGCAGGCTGACTCTGCTCACTGCCAGGAGTTCGATCCCAACACGGCTCAAGGTTGACTCAGCCTCCCATTCTTCCAAGGTCAATAAAATGAGGACCCAGATTGTTGGGGGCAATAGGCTGACTCTGTAAACCGCTTAGACAGGGCTGTAAAAGCACTGTGAAGCGGTATATAAGTCTAAGTGCTACTGCTCTTCCTTCCTTCTTTTCTTCCTTCCATGGTGGCGCAGTGGTTAAAGCAGTGATTAAAGTGCAGTATTGCAGGCAAACTCTACCCACAGCCAGGAGTCCGATCCTGACTGGCTCATAAGTAAAGCGAATCCGGCGTCCCTGCTGACTTTGCCGGTCTGAACGTCACAAAAAAAGGGAGAATCTCACAAGGTCGGGACACTGCAACCGGTCATAACTACGAGTCGGTTGCTAAGCGTCCGAATTTTGCGTGGGGTGACCTTGGGGAACCGCCACAATGGTCATTCAGCATGGAAAAAAAAACCGGTCCTTGGAGTCCTTTCTTTTGGGGCCCCAAACGGTCACTAAACGGACTGTTGTAAGTCGAGGACCCTCTGTAAAACACCTCAAAACGTTGGACGGAGACGTGGGTGGGTGGGAAAGAGGGCCTTTGAACGTGTGTTTGTGTGTGTGTGTGTGTGTGTGTGTGTATGACACACAAAATCCTTGAAAGTCTCCCGGCCTGCGCGCGTGTCCAGCCGGTTTTCCTCAGAGCTTCGGCGAAGCACAGCGCGGCGTTCCCGCGTCCTTGAAGGGAAGGCGCGGCGACCTTGCTTCGCTTTCTCCGAGGTTGGACGGGGCGGGGAAGGCGAGGAGGGGGCGAGGAGAAGCCGGCGGAAGGCGGGAGAGAGGAGGCATCGCCGAGACAGGAGACTGAGGAGCCAGCTTCCCTCCCGCCAAACGAGACCCTCCCCCGGCCTCCCTCCCTCCCTCCCTCCCTCTCCCTCCCTCCCGTCCGCCTTTAGACGCGGCTCAGAGCGTCGCCGCGGCGAACTGCGGCTTTCCGCGTCCCCCCTCCGGCCGCCCTTCCTTTGTCAGCCAGCCGGTCCGGCCACGGAGGACGCCGAGCCGGCTGCCTCCCACCAGGCGTTGGGGGTTGAAAACGGGGTTCGGCAGCCGGCGGCCACTTTGGGACTCGCTTGGCCGGTCTTCGCGCCTGCTTGGCTTCTTCTCCCGGGGAGAAAAGCAGCAGCAGCAGCAGCGTCGCCGTCGCCGCCTTCCACGGCGGCCGCGCCGGTGGCGGCGGGGAAGAAAGGACTCTCACGCTCAGCCGGCGCTTTTCCACGCGGCCCGCGGAAGTTTCCACGGGGGTGACTGGGAGCGCCCATCGCGGCTCCGCGCCGTCCGGGTTCTCCGGCGCGATGCGGGGTCGCCGCGTCCTTGGCTTTCGCGCTCCTCTGGGGCGCCCGAGCGGTTCCACCGGCCGCTTGGCCGTCCCGCTGCCCGAATAACGGCTTGGGCTCTGTGGATTGACCGTGAACGGATTTAAAGCTTCCTTTCGCCTCCTCCGCGCCCTCCGCCAGGATGGGCTACACCGACCCGACTTTCAACCGGGATTTGCTGGGCAACCGAAGTTTGCTGTTCATTTTCATCTGCGCCTTCGCCGTGGTCACCTTGCTGCAGCAGATCCTGTACGGGAGAAACTATCTGAAGAGGTAAACGGGGAAAGAAGAAAAGAGAGAGAGAGAGAAAAAAAAGAGAAGATCCTTGTTTGCATTCCCACGACCCCTTTAAACCTGGGTTAAGCCATCCTTGCTTGGCTTTCCCCCAGGATTTGAAATCCTTCAGAGAAGGAACCAAAAGGGAGGGTGCACCATGAGAAACAAGCCCCCTTCTCTAGATTAGACAAGGATGCTGTGATGCGTTTCCCTTTGGGCTTGGTTAGTGGTCACCTTGGTTTGTTGCAGTTTGTGGTGCGACCGGACGAGCCATTTGGTCCATCATCTCTCAGCGGTAAAGCCAGGTTGGGCACAGAGTGTCCTGGAGAAAACCCATCTGTGGTCATTAACCTTCAATTGATAGCCGCCATTCAAACCGTACCAGCGTGTTGCATGAGCCAGAAAATGGCTTAGTTAATTCAGTAACCAAGTTAGACATACCCCTGTGAAGCGATTAGTACTGTATATATGTGTTGTGGAAGTGTGTTGTTTGAATCTCCCCAGGCTCAAGGTTGACTCAGCCTTCCATCCTTTCTAAGGTAGGTAAATTGAGGACCCAGTTTGTGAGGGCAATAAACTGACTTTGTATAAATATACAAAAGTATGAAGGCTATTGCTTAACGCATTGTAGATGCGGAGACGCATCCTGAGTCTCCAGAGAAGGGCGGCATATAAATCAAATAAAAAAAAAAAGTGCCCAAGCTTTATTTAGAATAGAATAGAATAGAATTTTTTATTGGCCAAGTGTGATTGGACACACAAGGAATTTGTCTTTGGTGCAGATGCTCTCGGTGTACATAAAAGAAAAGATACATTCATCAAGAATCATAAGGTACAACACTTAATGATAGTCATAGGGAGCAAATAAGCACTCAAATCATATTAGGAAGCAGTCAATATAAATCATACAGATACAAACAACAAGGTTATAGTCGTACAGTCATAAGTGGGAGGAGATGGGTGATAGGAACGATGAGAAGATTAATAGTAGTGCAGACTTAGTTAATAGTTGACAGTGTTGAGGGAATTATTTGTTTAGCAGAGTGATGGTTTTCGGGGGGAAAACTGTTCTTGTGTCTAGTTGTTCTGGTGTGCAGTGCTCTATAGCATCGTTTTGAGGGTAGGAGTTGAAACAGTTTATGTCCAGGATGCGAGGGGTCTGTAGATATTTTCACAGCCCTCTTTTTGACTCGTGCAGTATACAGGTCCTCCGTGGAATTTAAATTGGTTCGATTCCTCCCTAAGTCTTGTGGACAATGCACTGAGGCACAAATCACTGAAGGCTTTTGTGGTGCCTTGCAAGACAACAGTGTGTGTCACCTCGAGCGAAATAGTCCGTGGAAGCTATGGCTTGCCAAGATGACACAAGACTCTTGCTGGATTGCTAAGGGGCTAAGAGGGTTACTGCCTAGGAAAGCTTGTAACTCCAAGCATTCAACGGAAAACCTTTTTGGTTCAGTTGCGGTTCAGTTGTGTTCAAATGTGGTTGGGTTGTAGCTGCTGCTGTCTTTCCACTTAGAATAAGAAGGGATCAAATGGCTATTATTATTTTTTTTAAAACAGAGTAACTGTGTGACATTGCTGTGTGTAAATAGATACTATTGACGCATCAGGGGAAATGGTTGGCTTGGACTTGCATTTCTGCCAACTGCACAGAAAAGGCCGTTGGGGTTCCTGATTGGGCACAAAAAGAGCTTAACTCTTGATTTATGGATTGGCAGAGAAGATAAAACATGTCCAGGATTTCATTGTTAAGACCTACTTTGCAAAATGCGGATCCCCTTTGAGCTTCTCGGCTGGGGGAGTCACGGAAGTCATCCTCCTCATTAGCAAAGGAGTAACTTAGAAGCATTTGGGGTGCTAAAAATAAAATCTTCCTTCACTTGACCTTAGCTCTTAGTAGCTGTAGAGAGTAGTGATCTACTGTATATTCACCCCTGTTTAGTTGCTTCTTTCTTTCTTTCTTTCTCTTTCTTTCTTTCTTTCTTTCTTTCTTTCTTTCTTTCTTTCTTTCTTTCTTTCTCTCTCTCTCTCTCTCTCTCTCTCTCTGCCTGCCTGCCTTCCTTCCTTCCTTCCTTCCTTCCTTCCTTCCTTCCTTCCTTCCTTCCTTCCTTCCTTCCTTCCTTCCTTCCTTTCTCAGGGCTGTAAAGCACTATGAAGTGTTATACGTATATGTATAAGTGCAATTGCCCTTCCTTCCTTCCTTCCTTCCTTCCTTCCTTCCTTCCTTCCTTCCTTCCTTCCTTCCTTCCTTCCTCCCTCCCTCCCTCCCTCCCTCCCTCCCTCTCCTTTCGTTCTTCCTTCTCCTTTCTTCTCTCTCCTATACCATCTTTCAGTTTCTTCCCCCCTCCCTCCCTCCCTTCTTTCCTTCTTTTTTTGACCTACTCAAGTGTTATGTTGAAAAAAACATTCCTGCTTTTTTTCTCTGATCACATTGGATAAGAGAATTTGCTTTTGAAATGTTCTTCAGAAGAGAAGGATATTTCAGGAATATTTCTCAGGCACAGAGTGGATTGAAGATTCTTTAGAGCAGGCAGTTGGCAATTTTTGGTGTGGATTTCAACTCCCAGAATTCCTCAGGCAGCTATGTTGGCTGGGGAATTCTGGGAGTAGAAGTCCAGACATCTTAAATTTGCCAAGGTTGGGAAGCTTTGCTTTAGAGGGCTAATGAATATGTGGTAATGCGTACCTACCTGTATTAAATCTTCTCTCCCACAGTCTGTAGTATCCAGGGCCTCCCATTAAAATCCTAAGAAGAGAAAAGCTCTTTTTAGGACTTTCCCAAAGGAGAAAGGTCATAACAGGGTGATAGAAACAGAGCTCAGAGAAACACCATCTAGAAAAGTAGGAAAAAATTATCAGGGAAAGAAAAAGAAAGATGAGGGAGACCAGGGGTGAAATGCTACCGGTTCAGACCAGTTCGACCGAACTGGTAGCGATGGCAGCACGAGGCTCCGCCACCCTGCCCAGTCATCATTACTTCCTGGTTTTAACCAGGAAGTAACCTGTTTATTACCCTCTGTACATGCGCAGAAAGGTTTGCACATGTGCAGTGGGTCCGTGTGTGCATGTGATGCGCACGGATGGCATGTGCACTTCCGAACTGGTAGGAAAGGTAAGTAGATTTCACCCCTGGGGGAGACCCAAAATTCAGGCTGGTGTGGGCTGAATCCCATGGCTTAGTTTGAACCAATATCATAGAAATGAAGAAGTTATGGAGAATTAGACCGAAGCACTTCATATCCTGGGTCCCATCTTGGAACCTATTTGTGATGAGTAAAATGCATTGATTAGATGTGATTAGTACTGGTTGGCGGCATGGGCTGTGGAAGATGGGTTTCCAAGAAATCAAATGAAATGAAGTAGTTCCGTTCAGAGGCCCAAGAATGAACTTTTCAAGGACACTCTAGTCCACCCTAATTTCCCACCCTGTTAAGGGACCCAGCAACCCTTGTCCCATTTATTTATTTTATTTATTTTTTGGTTCGATTTATATGCCCCCCTTCTCCGGAGACTCAGGGCGGCTTACAATGCGTTAAGCAACAGCCTTCATACTGTTTGTATATACCTGCTTAGTAGGGCTTTTGCCCCCCCCCCTAAGCAGTGTTCTTTTTTATATAAATCTTATTGCCCCCATAATCCGAGTCTTCATTTTACCTACCTTGGAAGGATGGAAGGCTGAGTCAACCTTGAGCCTGGTGAGATTTGAACTTGCAGTAATTGCAGGCGGCTGGTGCTACTTAACAGCACTTTAGTCTGCTGCGCCACCAAGGCTCTTGGACCATTGAGTCATCTCCTTCAAAAGAGAGAGGGCAGAGGACTCCTGGTTCCTTGGGTTGGGATTTTCTCATGAAGTTGGTTTTGTTCTTTCATAAAGTCTCCTGAGTCCTCATGAATCTTCTAAATTCTAACTCTTGGATACATTAGAACAGGGGTGTCAAACTCAATTTCATTGAGGGCCCCATCAGGGCTGTGGTTGACCTCGGGGCGGGGCGGGGGGCAGGCAGGCGTGGCCGACTGGGTGTGTGTGGGCAACTGGGTGGGCGTGGCCAGCTTGATGCCACTCACTGGGCGTGACCGACTGGGTGGGCGTGGCCAGCTTGATGCCAGCCACTCCCCAAACTGCTTCGCATTGGGTAGACCAGGCCGATGCGCCGTGGTCCAGCCTCTTACATTTTCCAGGCCGGCCCCGCAGGCTGGATCTGACCACCTTCTGGGCTGAATCCAGCCCGTGGGCCTTGTGTTTGACATCCCTGCATTTGTTGTGGCCCGTCAGTGGCCTGTGCGGATTGTAGCTGATTCTGACAGTGAGGAGGCTGGTGTGGTGCTGTGCCAGCAGCCTGTGCAGCTGGCACTCGAGTCAGACAGTGAGGAGGCTGGAGAAGATGTGGTGCCAGAGGCAGGGATTCAGCCAGGGCCTTCAGAACCTCCAGAAGCTCTGTTAAGTGAAGAGGACAAAGGAGGAGGAGCCTCTTCTCGATGCACGGGCGCGCAGAGTGGCCAAAAGGCAGGAATGGCTCCTCAGGAGGAGGTCCCCTCGAGAGTAAGGCTTGGGACTAATTGGCCACTCCCCTAGCCTATTTAAGGAGGAATGCCGACGGAAGCAATTTGCAGGGAACAACTTTAGTTCGCTCTACTTCACTTCTGAATTCTCTGCAAATTGCTTCTGGGCTTTCTGCCAGCCTTAGTAAGATTGTGATTACGTTATCTTTGGTTTCTTGTAGGCTGTTAAGAAAGTTTATTAACAGCCTTTGTTTTGAAAAAGACTGAGTTATTTTAGTAAATTAAGTTTTGTACAAACTTTGTGTGTGCTGTGTTCTTATGGATCCGTAGCTGGGGCAGAACAGCATTAGAATGTATAAAACAAATAGTGTAGCGTATATGAGAAGATAAATCTGTAGGAGGCTTTAAGATAAATTCCTGGGAGATACAGGTATGGTAGTAGTCCTCAACATATAACCATTCGTTTAGTGACCACTTGAAGCTACAGCAGCACT